GTTTGTTTGGGTTTACGGGTTTTACATAGAGAACCATTGCACGCACATGTTGCAGTAGCAGCAAATGTTCTTCGACGGATCACAACCTTGGACAGGAAGGTAAGGACCACATGCAAACCCTATGTGCCCTACAGCATGCGTGCGGTTGGCAAGTGCTTCTGCTACATTGCATAGGTTGGCATCCGAAGCGTTCATGTCGGTTTGGTTGTCGATTTCCACCGGTTCTCTCACGAATGGTTTCTCAAAGAAGGTTTCGCTTCCCCCGGCAGGAACGAAAGGGACAGCGAAGCCGCTCGGTAGCATACGAACTTCTTCTTCTGTCCTGCGCTCCAGCCTTAAATCGAATCTCGAAAGATCGTGAGGGGCATGTCAGAATTTCGAATATTGCAAAGCTTGAACGTTTCGTCTTCCATTGTGCCTGATGCCGTCATGATCATCGTTGGATTTATCCTGTATCTTGAAACTTGTAAGAGCTTTTCAACAACAAAGCTAGGTTCACACTGGAAGGATATGTGGGTGTCGATGTTCTGTGATTCAGCAGAATTTACTGGCATCGGAAGTGCCCATATTGGTGGATGTCGCCAAGTTGTGCCATTGGTTTAGCTGGACTTCTTAGGGGAGCGTACTTAAAGGATCATGGGACTTAGTAAGTAGGGTTATGATTAGGGTAACAACTTATAACCCCGATTAAGGGCCTTATAGCCTTGTTTACTAAGTCCCATGATCCTCCAAGTATCCCTTGTTAGGGTGGTCCTTCGTTTTTACGCTGCAGCCTGAGCCCTCCCTACCAAAAAGAGGCTCTAAACACCTGCGCATGCCAAGACCCTCCAAAGAAGTACACCATGCTGGTTTGAGGTAACTAACTCCCAAGGCTTTTGCTATCATACTCCCTATGATCGTGATCGATTATACCCTGATACCCTACTATAGGATGTAATACTTACATGCTAGGACTTAACTGCTTTCTTCACGGCTCCGGTCTTTGCCCACAGGTTTCCTGGGTTCTGTCTCGGCAAATCTGTGTTGAGGTCACCAGAGTCTAGTGCCAGAAGACTGTCTGGTGCTTAGTAGGGAATGGGGGAAAGGGTTATAGGGGCTACTATCATAGGCGTCCATTCCCCCATTCCCTACTAAGCACCAGACAGAAGACAGAGACCATCGTTACCTAAACCCTAAACCCTAAACCATCGTTCAACGTATGACCAACTCGCCGTATAGAGAAGTCGGCAGCCACTCGTAAGAGCAGCAGTCCTCCGAGTCCCTAAAAGCTTACGCGTTGAAACCTAAAGCCTGTTTGAACCTTCCCTACCTATAGTCTCCATTGTAATTCAGTTTTTTGTGGTTACCAATTTCATGGTTGGGATCCTAAACATACATCTGGTTAACCAGAAATCAGGAGCTACAATGGAGACTATAGGTAAACCCTAACAGCTCCCTAACATCTCTCGAAACCTAAACTCGAAGTCGCCGAAACCCTAAACCCGTGAACTCGAAGTCGCCGAAACCCTGGAACTCCCCAGAGAACCCATCACCCCTTAATTACGGAAAATACCTCAAACCATAATTTTAGGGCCCCTATAATTTAAGGTATATTCCTTAATTAAGGGGTATTGGGTTCTCTGGGTCTGGGCTGCGTCGCAATGCGTGGATTCCTTTTTGGCCGCTCTCGTCCGGAGCTGGCCCGAAGCCCAGAGATGCTCGGCCATTTGGTTTTTTTTAGGGATTACCTATAGTCTCCATTGTAGTTCCTTTGTTGGTTGGCCAAATTTATATTTTAGGATCTTAGCCATAAGTTGGTTAACAGATTTATATTTTAGGATCTTAACCATAGAGTTGGTTAACCAAAAAAGGAACTACAATAGAGACCATAGGTAGGGTTTGGGGATGTTTAGGGTGCTAGAGGCTGTTTCCAGCAAGAGAGCCTGGAGGGTCTCTGTACGGTATCAACCGCAGGTTCAGGTGGGTGACCCTGGACTGGACTTAACCCTGAGGGTCCATGTATTCATATAGCATATACATGGGCCCGAAAGTACCTATATAGGGACTACATTAAGGCCAATGTATATACTATTTGGGTACATGGACCCTTAGGGTAACACGACTCCAGCCTGCACACTGTTCTGGCTACTCTTGTGCAATGGCAGCTCACAGGCTGCAAATGCTCAGCCCCTTCTTTTCTGTTCTATTGCCAAGTGACGGGATCTCAGTTTTGAGTTGGGACCCACCAGTCCTAGAGTTGTCCATGGCTGCTAGATATGTTGCATGAGCATCCAGGTTCGTTTGTTAAAATTTGGACCTCAACGGGGATTGGGGATTACGGGCACAGAGGAAGCCGAGATTTCCCATGGTGTCCCGGCCACCTGTTGCAGTCTGCAAAAAGCTGCCCTTACACCCAAGCTCGGTCCTGAAAGCCCTGACTTCAAGCAAACCGGAAGCCATGCAAGGAGGCTTGCACGTGGGAGAAAGGAGCCCCCTGACTTGCCTTCAGAATTCCTTTTCCATTTGCGAAGCTCATGGTACGGTTATAGAGGCGATGCCGCCGAGGAGGCGGTCCTTAGACCAATGTGCTAAGAACAGCTGAAGTTCCCCCCACAGGCATATCGCCAACACCCCCCAAAGCCCTTGCACGCACCGGCACCTTGAACCTAAATAGACTACCCGATGACAACCCTTATGTAAGTCCATTATGGTCAACCGGTAAACTAGACCCCAGACTTCGGTTGTAAGATGTTCTACCTATAGTCTCCATTGTAGTTCCTTTTTGGGGATACCTTTTAAAATCCTTATTATATGATTGGTTAATAAAACCAAAAAAAGAGACTACGATGGAGCCTATAAGTAACTAACCAAGCAAACCCGTTATTACCGACCCAAGGGCTGGTGCCGCTGCGGCTGCGGATGACCGGGCAGAGCGTCTGCAGCAACTGCGCTCTATGGCGAAGGCGAGATGTGAGTCAAAAAGGGGCGTCACATGTTAAAGGGAAGGGAGTGTGTCCTACATTCAAAGCACATGCTACTACATAGCACTCTATGCATGTGTGCAGTGTATAGATGAATACTGTTCATACACATCACATGCATATACCCACACTCGCGCATGAACGAGTATTTTGGCTGGTTCATCGACTGTTCCTGAGGGCCGTGTCTGGTGTCCGCTGTGGGCGTCGGTTCATGGCGTCCTTTAGTTTGGCCCCATATCTGCCGTTGCATGGTCAAACCTCTAAGACCCACCTGGCCTTTAACTTAATGGAACCAGACGAAGCCCGAGCAGGTTGAGCTGGAAGAGGCTACCAAGGCACGGCGCAACTGCGGGGTGCAGGAATCGCACTTGCGAGAACTGGAGGACCTTGACCCTGAAGTCTACCGACCAAAATGTTCACGCTATAAGGCTGAAATGCCACACCGGGCAAGATCTTCGGGTGTTCGGCTCTTGAGGTTCGTTAGTCTGCCGGTATAAAGTAAAGACAACAGTCACAGCAAGCTTCTGTTGCCAGGAGCGCTCTGATCGCCGGGCCACAGAGAACCAGCAATTGCAAGCTGAGCACCAGGAGCTCGGAATGGGTAGGCATGCAGCTTCATCATGTATACATGCACTTGCATGATGCGCACGTATACAGCATGCACATAAGTGTGCTTGCACGCCGAATATAATGTGTGGCTGCGTTTGCATTGTGTTGTTGCGTTCGCTGGTTTCGCTGGGTCATTTATTTGTTGGTTTGGTTGTCTGCTTGCCTGCCGTGTTGTCTGTCTGTTTCTCTGTCTCTCGGTCTGTCTGTTTGTCCGTCCGTCGGTCTGTCTGTGTCTGGGTGTGTTTGTCTAGCAGTGGGTGCTGTAACTCTGCTTGTCTGTTTGTCTCTGTGTGTGTGTGTGTATCTGTCTGCTGTCTAGCTGTCTGTCCGTCCGTCTGTCTGTCTGTCTGTCTGTCGGCAGTGTGTGCCTGTCTGCTTGTTTCTGTGTGTGCGTGTGTGTGTGTGTGTGTGTCTGCCTGCCTGCCTGCCTGCCTGCCTGCCTGCCGCCTGCCTGACCACTGTCTCTTGTCTTTTATTTATGCAGTGTACTCTACTAATACATGATACTGTAGAACGTAGAATGCTAACTATAGTAACTCATGTCCCTTCAGCGAGGAGATGGCGCAGGCATCGAAGGCTGTGCAGGTTCTGCAGCAAGTGCTCCACCAGCTCTTCGGCCAAAGATCTTGTGCCGTGTTTAGGTTGGTCTGAGCGGAGCAGAGAGTGTAGATGATGCTAGAAGGGGATCTACGGGTGCTGCGCATAGTAGCTCGACTCCCGGAAAGCACAGGAAAGCTGCGAGCGTTGTGTAAGTATGTGGCATGTACCTTGTCAGACGGAGGAGTAGCGATCCCAAGTTCCATTCTTGAGAAACTACTCTGAACTGAACAATACTTCGAGGGAAGAGTCGATACATCCCGGGCTTGAAGTCGTTTGGGCATGGACACTTCGATTGCTTAGGGAGATGCTGAGAAGGCTCTTAGGCATGACGAAGCTCGTACATTCACGACCCCACTTGCAATGGCTTGTTTGGGTTTAGGGTTTAGGATTGCTCCTGAAGTCTGGAACCCACAATTTTCTGAAACTCAAGCCAAGCAACACGAAAACCCAGGCGGGAGGTGGAGCACCGGACCTTGGCCACTTGGTGCTCGTTGGAAGCATGCGCTCAAGCGTGGATATGCTATGATTGCGTGCGTTTTGAGTGTCATCGTGTGTTTGTGTTTCTATCCTCGTAGATGTTCTGCTTTCCCGTGCATCATCTGAACTTAATGTGTTCCGAGCTCGACCCTGATCTGTTCGCGTCGCCCCCCAAACTTCCATCGCCAGTCCGAGTGGGTGTATACTACACACATACATTAACTTAAATATGTATGTCGTATACTATACACATGGACATGCTGAATTTTGGGGAGGCCCAGGTGTAGATACCTTCGTGCATGAACTCAAAACCCAACCAAGGAGCTGGAAGAGCACCAGCTGCAGGCAGCCGCGATGAAGCTTAGCATGCTCCAAGCCGCACTGGAGGCGGACCAGAGCTTTGACAAAGTACGCCGCAGGTCTCCATCGTGGACATGACAGTCTCACGGATCCCCGTAGCTGTTGAAGGTTTCTGTGAAACACCTATGAGGCTTCAGATCCAGGAAATGGATGCAGAGGCGTAGCCTATCACTAGGACCGCCAGGAGCACCCCTCAACAATCCCCAGCGCGTGCATTTACACTATGTTTTGCGGTCCAAGCACTCCTGGATGGTTCGATCCCCCTTCTCCTCCCTCCTAGAATTATTATGGCTGTGGACTGGCAGGGGGAGGAGGCACACCACAAGATGGCAGAGGCAGCATGTGCAGAAGAGAGAAGGTTGGAAGAGTCTTGCCTCATCGTTCATCCGGAGGCTTAAGGGAAAGGCCGTCGGCTAGAGGTAGGGGGAAGCAGGTACTAGTAGGTGGAACTGAGGTGAGAAAGCCGTTAACCCGGCTGTTTGCGGGGACCTGGATGCAAACATGTGTATGTCGAATTGATTAGAACTGTACATGTATGCATATTATAGATATATAGGCACATAGGTATAGCCTACCTCTGTTTGTCTGTCTGTCTGTCGGTCGGTCTGTGTATGTGTGTAGCAAGGCAGGCAGGCAGGCAGGCAGGCAGGCGGGTAGGTAGGTTGGCAGATAGGAATAGTTGTCTTCTTACATTTGCAGTTGCATCGGCATGTCTTGCTCATAGTTTCCGAGTTTTCCCGCGACAGCTCAGGAGCACTTCAGCAGCCAGAAGGCACTGCAGGAAAGCGCTGTGGAGCAGCTGAACACTGAGGTGGAGGAACTTTGGTGGAGTTCAGGTTAACTACAGGGTACAGGATTGCAGGATTTACATAGGTATTGGGGTGTTTAATTGAGCTCAGGGCTCGTAAGGTGTACTGCGGGGTTGTTTGGGTAACTGATTGTACTACAGGGTACAGGGCTTGCTGCTTGGGTTCGCGGAGGTGGAGGAGCTGGTAGCTCGACGGCGTCGCCTCCGGGAGAAGGAAGCTGTGCAACCAATAGTCCCAAAGGGTCTAAGTACCCATATAGTAGGTTTTTTGGGCCCCAAAGTATCTACCATATTAGTACTTAGACCCTTTGGGAGTCACAACTTTTTGGTCCACATGTTTTTGGGTTTGGGGGTTTCCGTGGAGAGCCGTCGCGTTGTGTTTGTGCGTGACCAAGGGACCATCTCGACAGAACCTGTACTGGGAGGCGGCTCCGTTTTTGACGGTGGGGGAAGAGAAACTGTGGCGCCAGCGGAAGGAGCTGAAGTCTCTTAGTGGCTGAGTAGTTTGTTTTTAAACCTTTTGGGGCTCTTATAACCCTACTTTAATTCAAAAGGTTAACTTTTTTTGGACCAGGGTACTCAGTCCCTAAGTTAACTAAGGTCTTGCCACCGCGACATCTCCAGGTTGCAGGAGGAAGTCTCCCGAAGCGAAGTACGGGAGCGAGCTCGGCAAACTGCTGCAGAGAAGGTAGCAGAGTCTGAGCAGCAGGCTCGCGACTGGGAGAAAGCGAAGCGAGAGCAGAGCTTGCGGGAGCTGCTAAGCCTGCAGCGGCTGTCCTCGGAAGTGGATGAGACTTCGCCTACGATTGCTCTTAGGCTTGCATTGGCACCTGGTCTCGTTTCTACTAGGCCGTCCGCTTTTGATGCATTTCACGCACTGGTTTTTCAAGTCCACCCTAATCCGTAGAATCGAAGGACTGCCCTGAAGCTGGTCAGAATTCTGAGATGGATGACCTGCAACTTAGCTCTGTTTCAGCTCAAGGATATGGTCTCAACACCTGCCGTCTTCGTGTGTTGCACGGGATGCATGTTACTAGTAGGGTGGGGAGGGGAGGGCAGGAGGCATGTTCTGCAACATGGATGTCGTGCCGCGATTGCCTTTGATTCGTTCTCGAGCCAGATCCTGTCTATAATGCTATCGAGGCCTTCATGTCATATTTAGCAGAGAGTTGGGGGTACAACAGCCTGCTCAGCTTCGGAAGGGCGAACACAAGCAGCAAACAGCTGCATCAAGCCTGCCAGTGTCGTCACCCTATGCCGCGATAGATGTGCCAGTGACAGCTCGCTATCCGATATAGCCATATAGCTCTTCAACCGGCGTAAGGGAGGGAGAGAGAGATAGGACCCAGCACTCACTCCGAATCTGAAATCGACAATTCCCCACCACTGTAACATTCCAGACAGGCAGGAGACGAATCTGCGCCTCCAAGAGCAGGTTGCATCCTTGAAGGCCCTTGCAGAAAGGTGCCCCGGCTGCAGGAAAGACACACATATATATATATATATAAGAGGCTTCTTGCAGTTCTTGCGTGGGAAGGTAACATAAAGAGGAATTCCGACAAGGCTGTTGATGCATGCCCCTAGATCGGTTGCATGGAGAATGGCTCCCTTACCCGGGCTTGGCCGAGGACCCCTAAAACTCAGAACTGCTATCCAGACGGACTTTCCCAACACGGACACACCTACGTGATGGTCTAAGCTTCCGTCACCCCTTGTGCCGAGGTTCCAGCCAACAGCGAGCGAGAGTTTTGCGGATGTATTGTGGGGTGCTGGGAATCGGGTGATCTCGCAGATGAAGGACCTACATTGGGATGCCGGTTTTTGACTGTGTGGGTGATCCAGCCGTACAGACCGTTGGAGGCAGAGGCAAAATTTGCAGATTTCTGATGATTCGGGCAGCTATAGCAAGACTGTGCACATACTCCCTACACGTAGTACGACAGCCACAGCCCACTGATCTGGCTTTGAGGGTCCCTGAGAGCCTCAGAGGCTCGTTGTGATGCCTGCAAGGAGGCATTGAGGACCGACCTAGCCCTGACAGAGAAGCTCCAGGCCGCCCCAGCCTTTTCTTGGGCTTTGGGTCTTACTTGAACCCCGAAACATCCCGAAACTACTAGTTACTACCTATAGTCTCCATTGTAGTTCCTTTTTTTGGTTTAATTAAATATATATTCACGAGACTATAGGCAGTTACTAGTATAGACCCTTTCTATCCATATTGCAAGGTTAAAGGTACCTTGGCGGTCCCTGGTTGTGCTTATAAGGTTTAGCAGCTTGTTTGCTCCCCGGTGTTTGAGACTCAGGTCCCGTGTGCATTCATGTGTCCGAACATCTATCCACCAATGGCCGTGATGTAGATTGTATTTCGCCTAAGCAGAAGAATTTGCAGAAGACGTCCTACCACCGTCAGAGTTTTCGTCGTGCTTTGAGCCCTTTTCCGTGTATGCAACGCATGCATAGATTTCTGCATCTGCGCACCATTGCAATTAGCGACTTGCATGGGCGTATGCGCGTATCCTCGGAAGCTCAGCTACTTATACATAGTAGGGTGACAGTCGCATGCAGCGGCCCCCACCTCCAGTCCAGAATAAGGATCACGGGCGGCGCGCTGCTGGAACATCACTTGTTGGTTCATTCGAACAATACAAGATAATGGCACTGTCTGGAATCCTCTTTCGAAACACATTGATAGAAGCAGCCCTTGCATCAATCTGATTCGGGGTGTTGCCTGGCAGGCCCCGTAGGGGGTAGCTCAGGAAGGAATGAAAAACCAGTTCCGTCTATAAGCCCTTCAATAAGAAAGCCTAGCTTTCTTATGGACCCGAGCTTTTGGCAAAAACCTGGCTCCGGAAAGCAGCCTCTGATGAATGGAGAGGTCCGCTTCTCACAGCAGCATTGCTTTCTTTCTTACCGAAGCAATCAAGCGTCAGCAAAAACTGCAGCAACAGTCTGGCTGGGCCCACGTCACGTCCCGCCCAAAAAAAATCTTGAAATGTGCCCCACGCGCAAATGACAGTCCTCTTCCCGACTCAATCCTGAGCCTGATTCGTTGAACATGGTATATTTTTACTAATGATAATCCGCGGAGGAGCAGCCCATGATGCAAGCACCCCTGGCCCTCAAAGAACGGTAACAGGCCTTTGGGACATCTTAGCCCTAAGCTCTACAGCTGCTTATGAGCCCTAGAGACTCAAACGAAGCCCACGAAGGTCACGAAGAAGGAGCTCGAGGATTGCTGCGACCGTGAACGGCGCCTTCGTGTTGAGCTGGAAGAGCGGCTGAAAGAACCCAGAGAGGTGCCTTGCTTTATTGTTTAGGGTTTATAGGGTTTTAGGATTTAGGGTTTTAGGGTTTAGGGCTTTAGGGTGTAGGGTTTAGGGCTTTAGGGTTTTAGGGTTTAGGGTTTCTGAAAGGAGTAGGGCTGAAGAAGTATAGGGCTTGCGGCTGTTCCGGGGTCGTACGAATTGGGGGGTGTAGATATTAGAGGGCTGAAGAACTCATGTTTCGGGAGTTCTTGATCTTGCGACATAGGGTTTAGGCGGTTTGGGGTTGTAAGAAGGGGGTCTGAACAACTACGTAGGGTTTATAGCGTTCAGTTAGGGTTCTACCTATAGCCTCCATTGTAGTTCCTTTTTTTGGTTTAACCAATAATATAATAAGGATTCTAGAAGGTATCCCCAAAAAGGAACTACAAAGGAGACTATAGGTAGGGTTTAGGGTTTAGGGTGTAAAGCTTGGTAGTAGAGTAGGTAACCTTTAACCTTTCTGGGGTATTATGACCCCTTATAATCCCAAAGGTTAACTTATAATCCC